ATCGTACCTTGAGCAGAAGCCCCACTTATACATATGTGTGCGTCACGAAGCTCCTCCAATCAGCGATATTAATTGAAATCACGAGGTGACGCTATCCTCTCATCAGGAGTGTTCTAAAGGACTTTATGTAATACGACAGATTTATGAGCTTGGCGATTTGGCGGGCGCCAACAGGTTAATATATTTTATACTAAAGAAAGGATTTCGCCAAAATTTAGGAACAGGGATGCAATTTAGATAGAGAATCGCCAACACATTATTAAGCAATATTATTAAAATTTAATTTAATCAATTGATTTAAAAATATCATTACAGATTATCCCGCCCCCCCCCGTCATCTGAAAAGGCTTGCAGTCGCGGCCGTCGACCCAAGACAGTCCAGATAGTGAGAGCAGAAATTTTAGTTATTAGGAAATTAAGTGAGTAGGAAAACTGATTGGATTTACCTCAAGGCACACAAAATGTTTACATAAAATATGACATAAAATATTTGAATATAATTAATACAGTATATAAAATATAATAAATGATTAATGAAATTATAATATAGTAACTAAGTGAAGAAAACAATATAAAGCACTAATAACATATTGCTGGTTAGCTACGCGGCAATAGGAAATAGTAACATAACTAACTGAATTTGTAAGTTTATATCTTACGGCATGCCATTCACAGTTTGTGTATGAGTCCGTACAATCATTAGAGTTGTCATTCAGGCTCATCTTCAGTCTTTTATTGGTCCTTGGAGATCTCCGGATCATTTAATTAGCGCTAGAATTATGGATTGAGCATTGGCACTGAAAACATTTGAGTTTTTATGTCACGATACTAGAGCTCTTATACTCTTGTTGAAAATACACATTTTGCTATAGGTTTTTAACATATTTTGTCACTCGCTATTTTTCTTATGATAACAAAACTTATTAATGATAACAAAACAAAATTTAACTTCCAACATCCATACCAGTTTTTTGTACACGATGCTGCAGAAACATAAAATGAAATTCAAAAAGTTTCAACAACTGAAATTTAACTTTTTCAACTGTTGCTACAATTTATAACACAAACATAGGAAAACATGAGCTCAAGGAAATGTGAGGGTATAGTACTCAACTTGAGTAGTATAGCCTCAATTGAGTGTTTTCCCACACGGAAAGTGCATTGAACCTTGAAACTCAAGTTTGAAGGAGCCGCAGTAAAAGAAAAGGGGCAGACAAACTTTTCAGGACACTGAGAGATAAATCAACTATTAAGGGGGACAACAGGATGAAAACTAAAAGAAGGGTTATGGATAGTTTATTGATTTATAAATTTTGATTTATTCATGATGTAATTTAAAGTTCTCGGGTGGATAATAGAACCTTAATTTTGACGCATGTACAATCTCAGTTGGTTTCTTCGTGTGAAAATTTTCCCTGTCGATTTCATAATTAACTTCAGATAATTTATTCATAATTGATAAGGGCCTGAATAGGGTGAAGTCAATTTTCTAGTATTTGGGTATTCGAATTCCTCGTAAAGGACAAAATCTCCAGGTTGAAATTTAGATTCTACAAATCTGATGTCATATCTAGTTTTATTCTTTCGGTGGTATTCGATAGTTCTTTTCTTTGCTAAAGCCCTTGCTTCATTTAAGGAAGGGTATTATTTTGATCAATTGGAGATTCAAAAGGGAGGTTACCAAATAGTAAGTATGCTGGGGTGAACTTAGTTACCGTATGAGGGGAGTTGTTATATTCGATAAACAACTTGCTCTAGCACTTTAGTCCATGGTACGTTTTTAGAAGAAGAATTTACTTAGTACATTTTAGTTCGACTTACTATTGATTGATTTACTCTTTCTACTTTACCATTTGTCTGGGGATGGTGAGATGAAGTTAAAAGTTGTTTAAGCATTATGCTTTTTAAGAAATTTTTTGAATCTAGAGGAAGTGAAGGCGTGCATTCCTGTCACTCAGAATTTTTTCGGGGACTTGTATTTGAAATATTTGTTTTAGACAATTGGCATAGGTTTCTGAAGTTACACTTTTAGAGGGAAAAGCCCAGACATATCTTGTTGCATGGTCAATAACTATATGTAAATATTTTTTTTGTAGAATTATAATAATTAAATCCTCCCACAGTGTCAATAGAGAGCCATTCGAAAGGTTTGTCGGTTGGAGGTACGTCTTGCATAAGACCAAAATTTTTTCTGTTTTTCTTTTTATTAAGTTGACAAGTTTGACACAATGTTTAACAAAATTTCCGATATCTTCGCTAATATGAGGCCAATAATATTGAGGAGTGATTAAGTTAAGCATAATTTGAACTCCCGGGTGACCAAAATTTTCATGGGTTTTATTCAACAATTTTAATCTTAAAGATTTAGTTTAGGTACTACAATTTTATAAAAATTTTTTCTTAATTACCATCATATTTAGTAATTTTTATGGCAGTTTTTGACATATACGCTAAGTGCATTACCTTTAGATATCGAGCTACATTATTAAGCTTCCACGTTTCATCTTTATCTAAATGAGTTTTGTTAAAGTACTCAAGACATGAATTTATATCCATATCATTCTGCGCGTCCAAGGGAATTATACTTGTTTCAGGTTCAGGCACTAGCTGCCCTTAATGAATCATCAGGATTAGAGATGTTTTTCATTAGCCATTATTCTCTTAATAATACTTTCATAAATAAAACTAATTTAAAAAATAATACTCTTTAAATTTTCTCAAAACAAGATTAAAACCAAAATACATCCTTTAAATACCAAATTTAAAATACATTATACCAAAATAATATTTTTAAAATTTTCAAAATAAAAAACACTATTATTAAATCAGTAATTATAATTCAATAGAAATAATATCATTTGCATCGCCAATATTTTTACTAATTGCTTTCTGTTTGACGCGTATTGTGACGAGAATACGAGTGATGAAATCGACACGAAAATGCACATTTTTGTGCACTCTTGATTAGCTTTTCGTAAAACACGATCAATCACCACACAAGCACAAAGCTCTCGAGAGCAACACAGAACGGTACGTAGACGTAGGGAAAAGATTCACAGCCTTCAAAAGTAGGTCAAGCGGTAAGAGCACACATTTGATGAACGACGAACTTTCGATGGAAACACAGATCACGCGAAGGATGCTTCTCTGGACGTAAAATAATCTGCAGAATGCCAGAATACAGGTAACAGAAGGATGATTCTCTTGAAGCAAGAACGCCTAGAGAAAATGTAGAAATATAGAAGTCGCACAGCGGCAAATTCATCTAAAGTGCGTAATATTTTATCCGTATAATCCTTGGGGTATCTTCTTTTTTAGAAAATCCCTTTGAAGGTGGTATCCTACCGGCTTTCTGAAATGCAATTTCTCATACATTATTTGTTTTGTGCAGCCGGGCAACAGGAATGAGACAAATTTTGGAATATAAAGTGCTAGGTTTATTTTAGCATCCATCTCACAAGCGTTCTTATCGTACCTTGAGCAGAAGCCCCACTTATACATATGTGTGCGTCACGAAGCTCCTCCAATCAGCGATATTAATTGAAATCGCGAGGTGACGCTATCCTCTCATCAGGAGTGTTCTAAAGGACTTTATGTAATATGACAGATTTATGAGTTTGGCGATTTGGCGGGCGCCAACAGGTTAATATATTTTATACTAAAGAAAGGATTTTCGCCAAAATTTAGGAACAGGGATGCAATTAGATAGAGAAGAGAATTGCCAACACATTATTAAGCAATATTATTAAAATTTAATTTAATCAATTGATTTAAAAATATCATTACATATATATAAAACTGTATAATAAATATATTAACAGATGCAGTGAAAGAAATTGCAGCACATATTCCTATTTATACCCTTTTTAAATCGATCCCACCAGCGGCCGAGCGGTAAAATCGCTGAACACTGGAAGTTTGGTCCAAGGTAGGAATCCCGCGAACGGGCAGACCGCATGGACGTTTTCATGGTTTTCTCCATGTGTTACGTGTATATGAGCTAGTTTCCCTTAGAATGTCCTCCACGAAGGCAACCCTCACTTAAGGCAGATAGCCCTCGAGGCTTTGCCGTAATTACATAAAACCCAAACCAAGCACTTTTTAGTTCTGAATAAAAATACAGAAAACTGATGTAATATCTAAAAGTAGACCAAATTAAAAAATCTGATAACTAATTATAAATCATGCGTTATATTAGTTACAAGAATTTGGTTTAACCGAAAATTATATAGGAATTTAACTTGTTTTATACAGGAAATTCTGAAAACTATTGGAAATTGACATTGATATCGGTACAGTTAAAACTACTTAAATAAATTTTTTAACTCAAAGCAATTTAATGTAAATGTTCAATTTAGGATGTGCATAGTTTGAATTATATACTGCATATTCTTTAATGCATGTCTAATGTATTACATTTTTATACACTGAAAATTAAAATAAAAGTAGAGGGAAATACATTATAATTTAAAACATAAAATTTCAAAATTTACAAATTACTCATCAGAACATGAAATTAAGTACATTAGTTTAAAAATTACAATTTTAAATTAAACGTATGCACTCCTTCTCTTTATATGTGAAATAGGAAAACACCAAATATATTATTTTCACTAAAATGTAATTAAGGCATTGGTAAAGTAGAATAAATAAATAATGTAGAATCGTCAGCATCAAATGCGTGATTTCTATTGCGAAATACTCGAATTTTTCACAATCTTTCACAAAATTAAAATATCTATTACGTACACTTCCAAAAACAATCCGTGACCTCCGCCGTCCTCAGTTTAGCTCTAAAATGACAGTCAGAACATAAACGGCAGCTGTCTACTGACGGAAAAATTTCCGACGCGTCGATCTCTGTAATGATCGAGACGATGACACCAGTTTCGCTCTCTGTCGAGTAGATCGCAAAAAACGACCCGTTCTTCTATCTCGACTGTGTCCAGACTAGGGCCCTTAATGTTGTTAATAACGGCTTGATGGCATAAAGTCTTAGCGGATGCAAAATCAAACATCTTTCTTACTTATATGATCTAGATTTATGTAGTTGTTGTACTTTCGTTTGCGTATCTGCTATTACCATATTCATGATATGGATCCAAAACACAGGCAGGCAATTAAATCTAATGCTGATTATTTGAAAAGTATTGATAAAAACGAATTACGGCCATTCATTGAAAAATCAAAACTGTTTACAAGATCTATGCTGAATGATATTTTCGATACCGAAGAAGCATGCTTCATCGAAGAACTCCCTACTCGAGGACCTAAAGCTTTTGATATATTTTTGAAAGTTTTGGAAGATGCGGGTCAAGATAAAGCTGTCAAAAAGTTGAAAGAATCAGTTGCTACGCATAATTCTTTAAATGTAAATGCGGGTCAAGTTATTAAGAAGTTGGAAGAATCAGTGGGTGGTAAGGAAATTTCAAATTCTTTGAATACAGATATAAACTCACACTGCTATGAAATGTCTCCTAGTACCATAGGCGATTGCTTGATTATTAATAACGTGGATTTTCCAAAAAGAAAAAGGAATTGGTCTGATGAAGATGCCAAGGATCTGTATCATGCTTTCAGCAAACTTGGATATAATATCACAATAAAAAATAATTTGGAAGAAGACAAAATGCATTCAACATTGAAGGACTTTGCTAACAAGGGAGATTTAGATTCGTGTGTTGTGATTGTTCTAAGTTATGGCGGTGAAGAAGGTAACCAAGAAATTATATATGGAACTGATGGTGGGTTTGTATATGTATATGAGATTATAAAATTATTTGGAAATAAAAACCCTAAGTTTTATGAAAAACCAAAACTTTTTTTCCTTCCTAGAGGAAATACCAGAACTGATGATACAGATTCAGTTGCTTTTCATGAAAAAAATGATGATCTATATAAATGTGTTTTCATTCATTATTTTCCTTCTGAGGAAGTAGAAGGAAAATCTTATATGAGAGAATTTTCTAAAATACTTTTGGAAAATTATAAGACAGAAGATCTTGAAACCATAATGCGTAAGGTTATGAATGCCTGTCCATCGTTTATTACAAAATCTGTAGGACATGGGTTAAAAGGCATACATTTTAAAAAATTGTGACATTTTTTGTAATCTCAAATGTGATATAAAATGTGGTAGGTGTAAATGCATACTTAAGTGCCTTATGGTGGAATAGTAAAATTTACCGAAAAATAGATATTGCTGTTGAAAGGGGGGGGAGCGATCAGAAAATGTTTTGATGGGATCCAGATTTAAAACTGCAATGCTCTTTCATGTGGTCACTGGCTGTAAGTAAACAGAAATGAAGATAATTATTCTAAGGTATCCAGTTCTACAGAAAACAAAAATTATCTAGAATCATTGGGTATCATTATAGAGAAGGTTTATTGCATTAATTTTGAAGCCTTATAGTAGTGGATTATGTAATGATAAACTTATAAATCATTATGAAAAAGACAGTAGACAGAAGATATCAAAAGCTTTATCTGAAGAGATTTGTAATATGTAAATGAATGTTTTTGAGTGACAAGAATACGATAATTTTATCTATTTTATGTACTGCTTAGCAGACTTTTGACTACATTAAGTATAGCTGTAAGCGGTATTATACTGAAGTACTATCTCCATTTTATTGAATTTTTTTATACTGATACATGCATAAAGCTTTCTTTTATTATATACATAATTTTGAGAAAAAAGATTTGGAAATGCTTTTTGAGGAGTGGGAATAAAATTAATAACTTAAAGTTATTGAAACTAAAAAGTAAAAAACTATCTAAGGAATGCATTACTTTTGGAAATTTATAAAAAGTTGGTATAAAAGAAATTTCTCTGAAATATTGTGTGAAATGAAAAGAAAATAGTGCTGTTTGTTGATAATTATAGTTATGACAATTTTTCTGTTTTCAAAATAGAATTAAGTGTAATATATAATGCATTTCTCTGATAGTTACCTCTAAATAAAAACAGAATATTTTGTGTGTTTCGCCATATTTATGTTGAAATGGTATAGTTTTACATCTGATCAAAATGAGTTTCAGTAGTTTGTATCAAAATTCCTGCTGGAAATGGCACTAATGTTTTTATGTTTCTGAAATAAATAATCAATAATAATAATAATAAAACAGTGTATTTTTCTCTAATAATGGTAGTTTAAAAATCTTTGGTACTCCATTATCTTGAAAGTTGGCAGAGATCCCATTAGAGTTCCCGTAATTGTTTGTGCCGAATTCTAAAGGAAATTATGACTCTTTATTTAATAAGCAGTCTGTATTTGATGCTCTTCGTGAAAAGGCTGTTGTCAGTTTTAACTATTTTGTTTGGAATTCCAGTTTTATCAGAAGAATTCTGTAGAACTCTATGAATACAAACTTCCCATGGGTGATTGTTCCAGTCTATATCTGTTTTGTCAGCTGTATGCAAGTAACTATATTTACTCCTTCCCCCCAAAAAATGAAAGGAAAAATACAACAGTTTCATATCCTTGTTTCTAAAAATAAAGCAGTTTTTTTGATAATCAATCCAATTACATCAAACAAAAAGCAGATTTTTGATAATCAATCCAATTTCATCAAACAAAAAGCAGATGTAATGAGTGTATTGTGATGTTACACTTATTCGCAGTTGATTCTAAATCATACTGCTTTATGACAGTTTCATGATCTATAAGATAATATGTAAGTACCAGATATGTTTTAAATTTTACATTTAATTTTACTGTTATCTGTAATAAAATTATGACATTATTTAGAGCATACCCATAATTTGTAATTTTGTTTCTGCTTTCTGGAATTAAGATTTATATGATTGTAGTATCCAACATTTTATATTATTTATTCTTACTGTGTATTAAAACAGATCTTATAAATGAGTAATTATTTTTTTGCAATAAAATAAAACATATGCGGGGTGTGAAAAAAAGAACTCCCCAATTTGAGAAGCTTTTTTTGAAGAATTTTTTTAGGTTAGTCTTTGGATTATGGTAACTTGGCAATTTTTTGGTGAAAATTTGGTGACCAACCCTGTTACAGTAACGTGCTAGTTTTTGTTTGGATGCCATTTTGTTTTCACGAAGTAAAGGCATGTTTTTTTTTCTTTTTTTACTCAACATTTTTTTTCAACAATCCGCTAGCCGAATTACGCTTATGCTAGAACTTTTATGGAACAAATGTGCTTAATCATGACAAAGATTAAGTGCGAAATTGGGAGAAAGTGCAGAATCGAAAACTGCTTGCCGTGTTTTTAAGAATTGCACATACACGGTATCCATGTACACGTCGACCTATTTTCACTTAAAAAAACATCCCAGAATTGCACAAAAATGGCATTGCGCACACTCTTGACCTTATCCATGTACACTGCTAGAGCCCTAGCTAATAACCTTTATCGCCTTACCAAAATGTCGCCAAAATACCTGTTACCATATTCCAAAGATTAGCCTTTTTTTATTCTTTGAAGGTTCACATAATGCCATTTTACATCGGTTTTTTTCAACAAACCATCATTTAAGCAGTGGCCTCTATAATTAACACATTGAAGGAGCTTTTTCTCGATAACTATCCCAGAATTTAAGAATCATTTTAGCTATAATGATTGCAACTTCCTGTTGTATTGTCTCGTTCAGAACTTTCAAAACTGGACATCCAATAGTATTTATTTGTCATGAAAGCATTCTTACTATCAGTAAAAACGAAAGGCACAATGTTCTGTTGCTATCGGGGACCCACCATTTGAATATACTGCTCTACAATGCAAGTGTAATATTCTTCTGATCAAGTTGCATTTTACTCCAAAATTTGCACATCGTTCACTTTTCAAGGATAAGGCTTCCCATCACTGTATTCCCTTCCATCCTGTAGCTATACTCATCTCAAACTGGGGAGTTCCTTCTGTTGCAACCTGTCGCATAAATTGTGTATGTATACACATACTTTTATATGCCAATTGATATTTTATGCATGTCAAACATTTTTCATTCTTATGATTTTCACTGAAATTGTTATAAAAGCAGCACTGATTTTCATAACAAATTGGGTACTGTCATATTATCCCCCAACCCTGTTTTTTAATCAAGTTAATATGTTGCTGTTTTATGTATTTTCAGTGTTTCATTATGGATGTTTCTTTAGTCAGGATATAACTTTAGTACAACTTCATTCATAGAGGCACATTTGCTGTTAAATGAATGAGGGCAGTAAATGCTGATAGTTTGAACCAATTCTAATTCCAGATAGTACAAATAAAAAGGTTCTTGTCTTCTTTGTCAAATAAAAAGGTGCTTTGGTAAATAATTGCAGGGATTTTGGCTTTTTTTTTTTTTTTTTTTTTTTTTTTTAGTATGCTAAACCAATTGCTGGACAACTTACTCGTATTTACGGTAACTGATCCTTTGTTGTCATTTTACTTAAAAAACAATGCATTTTATTATGCATAAATTCCGTGTTGTGAATATTATTTATGGCTTCTAAATATTATAAATTAATTTAAGTTTGTATTTTTATATGAAATAAAAATTTTATTGTTTATGAAATTTTATATAATTTTATGTTGTGGATGATGATGTCACCTTACTTTAAAGTAAGTGGTTTTATAATATCGTATAAAACTTATTTTAAAGTATTTGAATTTAAGTAATATTTTAATTCTTTTAAATGGTGGCACAATGTTTTTATAGCAGCGTTTTTATTCTATTTCTTTGCTATATGAAAGTAATAATTTAACCTTACTTTAGTATTTTATACTCGTAGTAAATGTATTTATTTACATTTGCCTGCCATCTTAAAACACGACGTTTTCAACAAAAAATGAATCCATTATTTTTAACAATATCTTTTCGAATACTTTACTATGCATAAAATATGTAAAAACAGTGTTTTTCAAGATTGCTGACGATTGTAAAAACTGCACCAATGTAAATCGCCAAAAATCCGTGCAACCATCTACCAAAGTATTGACTTGGTCACCAGCAGGGCGGTGGTGACCAAATCAATGCAGTTGGCAGAATTTGGTCTCAAGAAAGTGGGGTCTGTTGCCAAATGTTGTGAACATCCACAAAAGTGAATTTGACTATGCTAAAAGATAAATCGGTTGTTTTGTTATGAGGACTGGATTTAGATGTGTATGCACAAATGTATGTGTGTGCATACATATACACATGCATGTACATACATACACACATGCATACATACATACATTTCTGAATCAGGTCTGATAACAGAATGGCACCGATAAAACGGCAGTTCATTGAAGATGTTCCTCCCTTAGGGCATAGAGCCCTCAATGGCCTTGCCAAGAAAGTGAATAACTTTCCTGCAATTCCAGCTTAAAAAAGTGTGATTTGTTGCCAAATGTTGTAAACAATTAGGGAAACAAAAATTACTATTAAAAAAGATAAACTGACTATTAATATATTATCTATGTAACGTAAGTTATTTAATATACTTATATAGAAGGAATTTAACATAAATTTGTATTTTTTATAGTATTTATAAAATTTTGTCAGCAATTTATTTAAAATTACATAATTCAACAAAACTTATTTAAAATAACAATTCAACAAAGCTTATTTAAAATATACATAAATTAATGTATTTGACACAATTATGGGTACTTACGTATTATCGTAACCAGGCCAAATTTCGCATAAATTGCCAAATTTGGCGACCCTACTTACGGCAACCCTACATGTTATACGTAGTTTTGTAAAAATAGCATGTGGAGATTCACAAAATTTTCCTTCATTTTCGTGCAAATTTTTGTAATTTATGAGAATATAGCAGTGTACATGGATAAAGTCAAAAGTGTGCACAATGCCATTTTTGTGCAATTCTGGGATGTGTTTTTTTAAGTAAAAATAAGTCGACGTGTACATGGTTATGGCGAATACGGTTTTCAACCAGTGCTAAAAGCAATAGCCAAAAGATTTCCGCCTAAAAAATAATTCTGCAATCTTAGTCAAATTCGAAACCTGAAGGGTTTTAATTGCATTTATATTTTAAAACAAAATAATATTAAAAACTGTATTAAAATTATCTGTAATTATAATGTACTTTCTTCTATTCATATTTTTTACGTGAAGCTTACAAATAGCGCCACCTGGTGCGATAATACGTAAGTACCCAATATGTTAGCCCATTTATTTAAATTTACAAAATAATTCAAAAAACTCTTTAATATGTATATTATTATTGTATTTCCTATGATTGTAATGTCAGCCGTTTATTTCTTATAAATAAACATGCTGAAAAAAATTCTATTTATTATTAATATATATGAAATTCTATTTAATATTTTAATTAATACAATTTTGGTAGCAGTTTACTAAAGAAAAGCATAAATGAATATATTAGAAAATTCATTTTTTACAGACTCTTTTTGATCTCCACAATTCAGCAGCTGATGCTAATAATGCCTCAAACAGCAGATTGACGGAAGATTGAAAACAGCAAGCATAATGAGTATTTTCAATGAAAAAACACTATAATGATACAGTTCTTTGATCTGTAACAGCAAGCACTTGGGGTATATCCTCAAAATTAGAAAAAATTTGGTACATAACAGTTATTGAAAAAATACTACTATATGGAGCTTCCGTCTGGGGTTTAACCTTGAATTCCCAGGCACAAAAACATTTACTTTCAATCCAAAGACCTTTCCTCCTCTCTCTAGCAAAAGCATACAGAACTACTCCAACTAGTGCGTTACAAATTATAACCGGCATCCCTCCAATAACTTTATCTCTAATAAAAGAAGCAAATAAAGTAAGAATATCAAAACTAAGAATTCAAAGCATAATGAATAATGATGTATTTCAACCCACAGATTTGAATATCTTAAACACAACTTAGAAGCCATCCTATATTTTATTTTTACACAAAACCCTATTGGGATCCTTTGAACTCAATAAATATAGAACTCGCCATATATACGATGGTTCGAAATCTGAAGCAGGCTTCGGTAGTGCATATTGCGCACATCCGAAAAAAAAAATTAAAAACCAAAAAATTAAAATTAATATTCGTTTAAACAATAACAACTCAGTTTTTCAAGCAGAAATTTTTGCAATCAAAGAAGCCATATGCTTCGCCAAAGAACTTTCTTTACCATCCTTAATTCTCTCTGATAGTGCATCTGGTATTCAAGTTATAATTGGACACAGTCGATCGCCTATTGTACAAGAAATTCATTTTCTACTTTCTAAATTTCAAAACAATAATAGACCACATTTCAAATGGATTAAAGCACAAAGGTAAACGAGCTCGCAGATGAACTAACAAAAGAGGCTGCAAACAAGTCTTCCCTTCCAAATTACTCAATTCCCTATCCAATATCATTACTAAACACAAAATTAGAAACAGAATTAATGCACTTATGGAAGCAAACCTGGACTGAAGCAACTACTGGCAGAAGAACTTTTACTTTCATATCAAAACCTTCTAGATCATTAATATCTACCAACCGTTCAATTACATTTTTCGTAACAGCTCATGGTCCATTTCCAGAATACCTTCATAGATTCGGACTTCACCATACAAATCTCTGTACCTGTGGGATGAAGACACAATAGATCATTATCTCTTTCACTGCAACCGTATAAAGATTATCACCGAAGCATACAATTTAACTTCTGCTCAGTTATGGTTCAACAGTTATTTATTAAAAAGTATATTCTAAGAATCATTTCATAATTATAAATTATATTCCGCAAAATCAGATAATCTTAAAGGAACTTGAAATTATTCTTTGTTCATTTACCTTACTTAATATGCCATTCTTTCTACTACAGTTAAAGTCGTTAATTCGGACACCCATAATCCGGACCCCAAAGCTTCGAACATTCTGCGCATGCGTCACGTTGACGCATGCGCATAAGGCCTTTACGGCTGAGAATATGGTTGTGCGCATGCGCAAAATATGTTTACGAGTGCGCGTTTAATGTATAATGGGACGGTATAAGCTAAGCTAAAATTATTTAATTATCTATTTCAGTTAATGTTGCAGATTGCGTTCTTCCTTAGTCTTCGAATTGGATCCGGCTTATTATTTTTTGCAGACTGTTAGAGCAATTTTATAAAAGTAAGCTTGAACTTTCGATTATGTCAAACAGAATTTCTGATATATATTTATTAATATGTAAATAATCTACAAAGCGAAAGTATGTTTCAAAGTTCATTAAACAAAAAGTGGAATTGCTACTAAAAAGGGATAAAGGCATATCCTTTGTTTATCTTTAACGCTGCGGCGCCGCACAATGAATTGGAAGTTGATCTGTCGGCACTATCCTTATCTTCAGGGCAGATGTTTTTATTTTATTTGGCTTATAATTCCTTATTAAATGTAGTATTTCACTCGATGTACTCCATCTTTGATATGATTTAAATCAAATTTCTTCGTCATTATAATTCGCTTCCGATAGCGTGAAGAAAGTGACAGAGGCTTATTGAAATACGAAAAAATTTTGATTGACAAATTAGTGGTATTCTCGACACAGCAATTCATAGGACTTGAACAGCGGAACTTTGTAACTGAACAAGAAATTATGTCTGTTTAATAGAATTAAAGAGAATGTATTATCACATAAAAAAACGAAGCAACTTAAACAACTTACATTGAAAGAAATGTTTAATAAAGTAAACAAATAAATATTAAGCTTTTTTTTTTTTTTTTTTTTTTTTTTTTGTAAATTTTGATACCCTTTAGATCATAATAGTTCTTTATTTCATAAATTATGGTTTCATATTTTTAATTTTATAATTTCTGCATGCCATCTTACCAGATTTAAACTGATGATCTATAATCCGAATGCCGAAGCCGACAAGTCCGGATTAACGACTTTTGACTGTACCTCATTTTAATGCTTTCACTCAAGACCATCTTTATTAAGTACACCTTCAAGATCTCTCAAGCCATCAAGAATTTAGAATATTTCTAACTCATCTCCTTAATATATTAATAAAGTCTCAACTCAAGATTATAGTCAGTCTTTTACTCAAGAATGACTCTCTATCAAGAATTTTCACGAACTTCATTCAAGTCATCCTAATTCATTCAATACTATTCTCATCAACTTTTATTCATTACTGCTCTTCATTCTCCATAATGAAATACTTACTCTTACAAATCTTACATTCTCAACCTCTAATATCTCATACATTATGTTGTTCATTTTCAATATTTGAAATGATCTTTTTAAGTATTTACTTATGTACTTGTTTCGTTTACTTCACATATTTAGGTATTTGTTTATTTTATTTAATTCTTAAATTTTTTTTATATAATTCTCAAATTCTGATAATTTATTTGACTTCATATATAACAAACATTGTATTTATCTTATTCTAAATTTTTTACTTTTATTATTGTATCTATTAATGTTTATTATTTATTGTATATTTATATATTATTTCTTGATATTTAATTTTTATTAGTAATTATCAAATTCTAAAATTTTATTGTATTTTACATAACAACACAGTTGGTAGATGATTCCATCAGTTGAGCATAAAAGCTGAATGTCTTAAAGGCGGTGCAGCTGCTCTTCTGATGGTAAATAAAGAAATAAATGACACAGTTCTGTTATGTAAAACCAGTTAGGTGGTTAACCATTTGTTTCTCACATGTGCACAGATTAATAACCATCTCTCTCTTGCTAATGCAGAAATGTGCCATATTTACTTTCTCATCAAGGCCATTACAGAAGACAGTACCCCCCTCAAAAAAGATAAAAGAAAAAAAAAAAAAAAAAGAAATCATAGAGCTATCACAATATTTCACGTATTAATATGATTGTATTTCCTGTAGAGCATTTTCTTAGAAGTTATCCTTTCACTCCAAGCACAAACTAAAGGTTTTACTTTAATAAATCGAATATCACACTTTTTACTGTTATTTTGTGAGCATAATTTTATTAATATTTAATGAAACTCAAATAATATATGATGGGCTTCATTAAATATTAATAAATTTATGATCTGAAATGAGTAGATGTAACAATGGCGTATGCAACTTATAAATTTATAGTTTATTATTTAATAATGAATAGATATAATGATATATGAAGTAATATAAACAACATCTCGATCAGCTTTGTTGTTTCTAAATTATGTAATTTTCCTGTAAACTCTTCAACAGTGTTGGCAAAAATCTGAAAAGTAATAGGATGCCAATATTTAGTTTATCTATTATAGTATTATCAATTCACATGTTCACATCATCATCACCATGTCTGTGAGAAGCATGGAGGTAAGAATAAGCACTGCTCCAAGGCTTTGGTCTCCTGATGGGGTGTTTTTTGTTTACATCCAGAAGCTACCTTGACAGCGCTTTGATAGTACTATTTCAACACACAATAGTTCCACACAAATCTAAAAATGAAACACTTTTGCATAAAAGAAACATTCTTTGTGTGATGTATAATACCAATTTGTATAGTTTAGTGACATTTGCGCAAAAATCACATCTTGGTTGTTTTTCGATAACCAACAACCGTGCTTTGGATTATGAATTTGTTTTGTAAAATTCTAAGCTGTTGAACTACAAAAATATAGATTTTTAGCAAAAATGTTGTGCTTAAAGAATGAAAAATACCTTACAGTACTTTTAAAATTGTATACGTCTTTCGATAGTCTTGAAAGACTATTTGCTACTTTTATTTTATTTTCCAAATTTCCAAAGTGTTTTAAATAAAATTTATTTTTTTTGTCATCCATATCTTATTTTAACATGTATTTTTTTTTAAAAATTTTTAGAGGAGAGGCTTAGTAGTTGCTCATTTTAAACTCATCCTTTTATTTTTATATAGCTGAAAAATAATCACTTTGGGTCAACTAAAAAATAATATTACCACCAAATTCTGCAATCCTTGTCAAAATTAATAAATATACACATTTGTGTAAAATTATGTACAATTTTATACTAATGTGTGGAACAGAATACAGATACATTTGTGAATTCGGTGGAAGTAACATGTAAGGTCAAGATGATGTGACCATGTGAACGTTCCACATCATCAATACAGCTTATTAAGAATTTAAAAATAGGGTAACATTGGAGGTGAAAACATTTGTGTAACCCGCAAAAGGAGGTTCAATCATGAATGGTCCTCTTATTGATTCCAGATTGTTAAATGTTTCCCACTCAAGTCTTTTCTTCCCGGAAATTCGAGGTTTGTGCTCGCTTCTTAACGTACGCAGGTCTCATTCATAGAGAAAAATGGCTGACTGAAACATATTACAGTATTTGCTCTCAGTATCGTGGTGAAATTTTTGATTCTCAATTAACTCTCTTCTGGATTAAAGATTGATTTCTCTGAGAAATTGAGAACCAGTAACAGCAAAGGAATTCAATACTGATACTGTGTATTGAAAAGTATTCAGCATGGAAGCTTGCTGTGCTTATGGGTGCACAAACAGATCTTGAAAACTGATTCCAGGCATATTATTTCACAGGTAAGCAAAGATTTAATTTCATTTTTTATCATATGATAGATCTGTATTAATTACAAAAATATAGACTGAATAACAGTGTAGTGTAATATTTAAAAACCACATTTTGACATTTAACATTTCTATTAAAAATCACTTATATTTTTCATAACTTAGAATTAAATTATAGCATTTTTTATGTAATATACATTTGAGTTTTTATTCAACTAAAATTTCAGTAAGAAATAAATTTCCTCTTAAAATGCAATTTTATCTTTTAAAAGTTTCATTCTTTTTTTTTTTTTTTTTTTTTTTTTGGGGGGGGGGGGTATTTAAGAGATTAAATTATTTTTTCATATTTCATCATTTCAAGAAAAACACCTTTGAATGGACATTAAAAATAATGCACATAATTTTCATTCAAATTACATTTATAGTACATATTTCGGTACTTTTCCGTTTCGCCGGCGCAAATCTCGCCAAGCAGACTTTGTTGGCGACAACATACAGTATACACATAAAAAAATGTTAATTCTAAGAATTTTTTTTTATTTTGAAGGCATAAACATTTTAATATGGTTTAAAATTTTGTAAAAAGCCAATAAATAAAGACAATAAATTTGTAAAATGACATTAATTTAAGAATTTACTATGATTTCATGGTTCAATATCCAGATTCGCCGGTTCGTATCACGTGACCCCAAGTGATCTCATCTCACGTAAACTACGCTACTAAAATCTAATTCGCTCAGTAATTATCTACATTAATTTCAAGTTAAATCTTAATTTGGAATACAAGTTTAAATGCAAGAATTATTTCAATTCGTACGAATAGCTTACTCAGAAATTATGTAAAACCGCAGTGCTTTACTTTCGCTAGTGCATTCTCATTAGAACTGATGAATTTAACACTTGATTTCGCCTTCGGGATGAGCTGTGCGATTGCATTTAATTGTTTAACTTAATTAGAACCGTGAATTGTCTTAGGCGATAAAATTTAACTGAATCTTGTCTTAAAAATTAAATATCGTGTAAAAATTCTATTGCATGCCAGTATTGAAAGAAACAATCTGATAAGAAATGGCTATGACTTGTTTTGAAACTGAGGCATAAAAGGTTACCAAGCAAAGATATTCCGTCTGGCATCAGTTAAACCATTATTGGCGACTTTATCGTTTGCGCCGTCAAAACGGAAAAGTACCCATATTTCTTATGTAAAAAGTTTGGGAATTTGCTAAATTATTGTAAATTATTCTTAAAAAATATAGTGACTGCGCAGAAATTAAAAGTTTGCACACGCCAAACATGAAAAATAGGAAATATGTATGGGTACTTATGCATGTGCTTGTAAAAAGCATGTATCTGTCTTTAACAAAATATGTAGATATTTATAAATGTATTTGAAATGAAGGATTTATTCATTTATAAACTCCAGTGAAAGTAACTGTGAAGAAATCTAATTATTAAATATATCTAAATTTGTAATGATTATAAATATATAATAACCTTAATATTGAATTGTAAACTTAAATTGAAATCCTTTTGACAAATACGTTTATAAAACTATTTAAGCAAGAATTGCTCATACTGGAAAGCAATTTGTTAAAAGGCATTGTAAAGCAAATTTTATGAGATGCGTACTTCAAAAAGTACTAAAGAAGAGTTTTAGAATATGTATTGTTGAAATTAAGGGTTAAAAAATCTGATTAGTGTTAACAGAATTATTCCCTTACATTTTAGAACTTAATACAAGTTTTAAATAATATTTTTTTAAAAAATCCATTTTTCATTCCCTCTCAGAAATATTCAGAGAAAGTTAAGTATGTGAAAATGAACATTAATATTTAACGTATTTCAAATATTAAAATAAAAAATGCTCTAATTTGAAATGGACCAAATAGAGCATTAATTATAAATTGACTCAGATTTTCGATTTAATGATGCCTCAGAAGCTAAAAAATTATATCATATTTGAGAAAGTATTTTAGGAAGAAGCTCTCTAAATAGAAAGGAAATAATGCTTAATTTTAATATTAATAATGCAATAAATTTTGATCTTGATTTTTATAATCCTTAACCGAATAAAATCAAATTACCTTAACATTTTTTTCTAATGTAATTAACAAAAACTCGTAAAAATATTTCATTCAAATTAAACTGTTCTGTGAAAAGTATAGCATTTAATTGCATTCAGAATGAAATGTTGTTTAAAAATTTATTCTTTTCACATACTTAGGAAATATTGTAGGCAAGGAAAATATAATCATTTATATATATATTTAATGGCGTAATTACAAAATGTTTACATCTGATCGTGTCAAAATCCATTGATCTTAATGGTAAGTCACTGAATGTTTTGCTCTCCACGAAGGAATTGCCAGTGCTTCAAAGCAGTGTATGGGGTAAACCAGTTAAGGCCTCTCTTACTTCCTACCTCCATGGAATTAATGGAGTTTTCAAATGGGAAACCTACCTGGCAGAATGCTTCGATCTATATTTCTACAATAAAATATTGGACTCTGAAACTGAAAAAAATTGAAAGTGAAAAGGACATTTAAAGATTTTAACGTAAAATGCCAAAACGAAATTAATAGCCCTTCTGGGCGAACATCGTTTGGGCTAAAAAAAGAAAAGGAAAGGAAAGAGACATCTTCGGAAGCAGCAATAGAAGGTGACTGTATAGAAGTCTGTTCAGAGGAAGAGGAGATGAACATATTCCTTTAATCTGCGAAACTAGTGCCAAATAGAGTAAGGTGAAAAGCTTCATATAGTAATCATATCCTGGTAAAGCAGTAGCCATCTGCAGCAAAGCATTTTTAATGGCAATGTGATGTTCTGCTTTAGAAGCATCTTAAAGCGTAGACAGCATAAATGGACAAATTGTGAGTGAAACATTGGACCATTGAGCCTCAAGAGGAATCAAGTAAAATTATACATAAAGTACTGCCATAAATTTTAAATAAAAAATCATTTGTGGTCTAGGAATGAATTAATCTATTTTACATAAATTCTTGTGCGGAAAATAATTTCGGTTTGTGAACATTTGGGATGACGTATTGCCTTGCATGACATACACACATAGTTGACAAAATGATGCCAAAGCAGCTACATTAACATTTCCACCTTGTCATAAGCCATCTGCATCATTCTGGTGAATGCATTATCACAGCGTATGAATGCTAATAATGTTTTTGATGATCATCATATTCTTTAATTAAAATTTTTTTTTAACTTGCATATACTGTTGGAATGATGCCATAGGACAATTTATATTTCTAATTTTTAGACAATTCATTATTAAAAACATTAGTCTATTGGGACCTCATTTTGTATGTCATTTGCTTTTTGATATGGAAATACGGTACTCTACCAAATCTATAATAGCATCAGTGCTTCAGATGATAAAGCTGTCATTAATATTCTTTTAGTACTTTGTACAATATCTAAATGTGAAGTTCATATACATATGAATTTGCTGAATCCTGTTTTTAATATTATTGAATCTAATAGAGGGTTAAAATGCTATCTTGTTGTTTCCAAGGGAAAAATTTTGCTGTAAGCTACAAGAGGTCAGGAAAATTATTTTGTGCTGTATTAAAGGAAAAGAACTGCTTATTTATCAGAATTGCTTATTTATGATATGCAGTCTCTAATTAGACTATCTGAATTTTGATAAATTTTATTCTATGTAAATTCACGCAAAATGTTTTCAAAAAGAATTATTTAATTAATAAAATCCCATTTCTGTTAGATTGTATTTTATATTCTCTTTGTATGTAAAATGTTATCTAAGGAACATTTTAATGTTTGTGTGTAGATACTACTTTTCAAAATATTTATTTTTATTTTGTTGTTTTTAACCATACATTGTATTTGAAGGGGAACATTTGATGCTGTTTGTACTGTGCATATTTACTGTTTGTACAATATTTTTATAAAGTTTATTAAATTAAAATATAGATGTTGTAAAGTAATTTTGATCATTGCATTTAAATATTTTGTAAATGTTTATATTATTTTCTTCGCCAGAAAGTCATCCATATTTTATTCTAACATGCATTTTTTAAAAATTTTTAGAGGAGAGGCTTAGTAGTTGCTCATTTTAAACTCATCCTTTTATTTTTATAAGCTTAAAAATAATCACTTAGGATTTACACTTTGGGTCAACTAAAAAATAATATTTCCACCAAATTCTGCAATCCTTGTCAAAATTAATAAATATACACATTTGTGTAAAATTATGTACAATTTTACACTAATGTGTGGAACAGAATACAGGTACATTTGTGAATTCGGTGGAAGTAACATGTGAAGTCAAGATGATGTGACCATGTGAACGTTCCACATCATCAAGACAGCTTATTAAGAATTTAAAAATAGGGTAATCATTGGAGGTAATATAACCAATTGGAAGTAATATAACCATTGGAGGTAAGTTAAAAAAAGTCCCCTCCCCAATAAAAAAATCCAACGTGTACACCACAAGACTTCCTTGTACGGAATATTAAATTATACGCAATTTTCCTGCATTTCATTTAAACGTATTGAATTAAAAGCTAAAGGGATTTTGAATTAAATCTACTTCATGGATAGCACATAAACCACAACAGAATAAATGCACTCCTTAAAGTTCACTATATTTATTTATCATAGCGACACTTTGGCGCTAGGTTCACTTAATGGCATTACATCTCATTCATTTTCTAACTCAGAGTGCACAAAAAATATATCATTTGAAGAATTATCACAAATTCTATTCAAAATACTATAATAAATCTAAAACGATGTGTAAAAGAAATTAAACAAACAAACAAAACAAAAAAAAAAGAAACAGTTTTTCGCAGACGATTCAGCGTAGCTTACCTAATGTGCATGCGCTACTCATTAATTCAGTTCTCACTTCGTGGCAAGGCAAAAATACATAAAAATTCAAAATATTTTCATTGAAATTTGAAAAATGTAGAAAAAATATAAAACACCAAGTACAGTTAAAACAATTTTTACAATTAAAATTACAATTTCTACGCAAAAACAAGCTAATAACTTAAATGATAATTCCAGAACGAATTAAGCATAATTTAATTCACAATAATAAAAGATGTTACTTTGTTGTTGCGAAGCTTAGTTTTTCACATTGGCAACAAATCCACTATTCTGCTAAGTTTCAAATGTAAACAAACATGGCTACCATGGTAATAAAAAATTAGGCTTAGCCACAATTAAAAAACTTAAATTGTTGATAATTCCACAATTATTGTATGCAGGTTAACTAAAGGTATAAAAATCTTAACCAGAACAGCATAATTCAGTCATTTTTAAGGCACAAAATGCACAAACATATAATAGTAAAGAAACTGAGCTTACTGAGCCGAGTAACATAGTGGATATATATATATATACTTTTGGTGCGCCCGATAGCAACCAAAATGGGAGGTGCACATCTACATTTTAAAGCAGTTCTATATACAAAATTTCAACGTTTTGAGGCTACACGTTTTTGAGTTATACGAGATACGTACTTGCAGACGCTACGAAAAAATGTCTTCAGAATTCATTTTAAATCAGTTTTATAATTTTTTTTTTCCGGGGGGGGGGGAAGAGTCCTTTATTCTATCCTTACTTACAGACATCGTAAAAACATCGTTAAATTTCATTCGATAGCAGTCAAAATGGATATTTTCGTTGAAATATGATACCCAAAAGTTTTCGCGATTACAATACTTACTTTTTACTTCGTACAAGGAAGTAAAAATATAGGAAAGTTTTATTTAGCTGATATTCTTGGTGTCTTTAGTTTATAAAGATATTCTATATAACACAATTTGAATTTTATTTCAGTCTGCATTCAGATATTTAGCATATTGTTCAGGCGTAGCTTGTATCACTTAACAGAATGAGAAATTTGATGATTCTTCAGAATATTCGAAATGTCCAGCCGCAGTAAGATAGCTTCCCCATAAAGCAAATTAAGGGTTGCTAGATAATGGCAAAGGAAGGCAGGGTTGCCATATTTGGCG